AGGAGGCTTTGAGCTGAAACAAAAACTAAAACAACTGCAGGGACCTTTTATTTGCTGACTGTGCTGTAAAAGCCAGCTCTGAGGCCAGTATGCAGCAAATCATCAATATATTTTCTGAAGCCTGTACCAACTTCGGGCTAACTATCAACACTGATAAAACTTGTTATCTATCAACCGGTTCCCAGACAAAATTACCATAAATTATCAAATACTAAATGTAGTCAACAGATTCACTTATCTTGGCAGTACCCTCTCTCAGAAAGTCAACATTGACGACGAGATCAAAGCTAGAATCTCAAAGGCTAGTAGCAGTTTCGACAGTCTTTATACCAGTTTTAGAAGTTGGCAACAATAGTCTTTTACCAACTGAATGAAATAGCAAAGTGAGATCGTCAAGTAATTTAACTTTATCAACATGTTTAGATTCTAACAGTTTATTCACTTTTTGCACTTCCATTAGAATAGGTTGTAGAAAGAGAAGGGATGCCAAATTTTTTTTTCATTGTACATTCCATATAGTATTTCAGCTGTGTAGCACTTATCATTTTGTCTTCTTTTTTCGAAGTGCGCTTTTAACTCCAACCATAGGTTTACAATTCTTTCAACAGCTGGTTAAATTGATTACCATCTAGTTTTGCAATCTGATAGAATTTCAGTGGTGTGAAAACATCATTTAATGCTTTATTTAAGTTATTGTATTTCTGTTGTATGACAGATGAACTACAAGGAATGACAAACTCGTTTTATAAGCAATAAAGATGGGATATCTTCGTTCAGTTTGGCATAAATGCCATTGTTGATACCAACCATCACAGAGGCATTATCGGTACCAACTGCAGCCAAATTCTTCAAGTCTAATGTTTGGTTTTGATTTGATTTGATTCAAGAACCAACATTATAGCACTTGGGGCATTTCCATAAGCGCTCTGGCCCAACTTCAGCAGCCAGCGAAGAGTACTGATACTAATGGTGCCAGTAGCATTCTGATTAAACGTCCGTCTTGCCTTTCCTCTGAGCCTCGAGCATTTGCCAGAACCTCTTGTCACTCCCCCCTGCATCAATCTCACCAGACTGTGGTGGTCCATCTGCTCCTTCGAACTGTACACGCTCTCCCACAAGGCACTAACCACGTCTGCCTTATCATGTATCAGTACTCCATCAAGTTGTGCAGAGCCTACCAGTCTGTCCACCTGTTCATTTCCCAACACACCTTCGTACCTCGGTGAAAATATCCAGACAATATCAAGTCTAATTGTTTGCTGATCAAAATTCTCTTTAGTTCTTGGACTATACTTTCTGCATCACACTTTTCCAATTGAACTAGTCCAAGATATGTAGAAACTACTTTGTCTTTCATCATCATCATCATTATGCCTAGTGGCACATGAGGCTTCAGAGAGGACTTTCCATGCTTTCCTGTCCTGTGCAGTCTTCAGTGCAGTTTTCCATATCAGAGATGCCACATTCAGGTCACTCTCCATCGTCCGTCTCCATGTTGTTTTTGGGCGCACTTCTTTATCTTTCCCTCTGGTGTCCATGTGAGAGCTGTTTTGGCGGGTACATCAGGATTCATCCTCATAACGTGATCAAGCCAATTCCATCTTCTCTTGGTTATCATACTGTCTAAAGTTTCTTGGTTTGTGACTTGAAGTAGTTTAGTGTTTGAGATTGTATCTGGCGAGAGAAATTTTGATAATTCTACGTAGACATGTGTGGTGGAAGGTGGATAGCTTGTGTGCATCCTTTTTGATCATTCTCCAGCATTCTGTTCCATAAAGAAGAACTGGTAAAATAATGCTCTTGTAGAGTCGAAGTTTCGTTCCTCTGCAGTAACTGTTGGATTTCCATATTTGCCCCATCCTTCCAAAAGCAACTCTAGCTTTGTTCAATAGTAACTGTATGTCTTCCTCTGTCCCTCCCACTAGGGACACCACACTACCAAGATATGTGAAATGTTCTACATTTTCAAGTTTTTGGTTATTTATGGTCACTGGTTGTTGGTTTGGACTGTTTGTTATGATCTTAGTTTTCCTTGTATTTATTCTCAGTCCCACCATTTCTGCTGTGCTGTGTAGTTTGTTACTAGTTTTTCTGGTATATGTTTGTGTTTATGTGATAGGAGTGCTATATCATCTGCAAAATCAAGGTCCTCAAGTATGGTGAACTGAGTCCATTGTATGCCTCTCAATGTCTTGTCTTTTGTATTCTTTAGTATCCAATTAATCACAAGGCTGAATAGGAGGGATGACATAACACATCCATGTCTTGCAACTGTCTTTACTGGGAACGATGTATTGTAATTTTTAATACTGCAGGAAAAGTCTTTATAGAAGAAAGCAATTATGTTGACTATCTTTTCTGGAATTCCATAATGTCGTAGTATTTCCCACAGTCTGTCTCTATGGACGCTGTGAAAAGCTATTTCAAAGTCTACAAAATTAATATATATACTTCTCTGCCATTCATTGCATTGTGCTAAATGTTACATAGAGTAAAGATATGCTCAGCTGTTTGTCTGCCCTTTCTGAATCCTATTTGTTCCACTCGTAGGCATTTATCTACTCACTTTTCGAGTCACATTATGGTTATTTTACCCCCCCCCCCCCCCCCCCACCCCCACCCGGCTCTCTAGCGTAGTTGGCTAAACCGGATTGCGCAGAGACTGGGTGACGAACTCCCTTGTGGTCCGGGTTCAATCCCGGGGGTAGGCAGGAAAGCCACATTTTCTCCCAGATTTACGGTATTTTCAATGGAATCAAGGCCGAAAGGTTGCGATATCCATAATACCGGGCCTAAGGGTTAACAACTCATGGCTTCTGGATACTAAAACAAACAAACAACCCCCCCCCCCCCCCCCCCAAATTTTTTTTGGTAGAGTAATTCCCCTCCAATTATTGCAGTCTGTTAAATCTCATGGGGGGGGGGGGGGGGGGGGGGGGGGGGGGTTGGGGGGAGAAGGAGGGGGGGGGGGGAATTTGGACTATTGTTTCTTCAGTCCAGTCATCAGGCAACACTTCTTTTTCCCAAACAAATATCCTTAAACAATGGTTCTAGAATTTTAGCAGTTGTGTTGTGATCTACTTTGAGCAGTTCTGCTGGCAGTTCATCTTTGCCTGGTGCTTTGTTGTTCTTTAAAGTGTGGGTAGCTTAAAGGATTTCTTGTTTGCTTGGTGGTTTGATAATAATGTCAAGTACCTGAGAGGCTGGTTGAATATCTGGGGGATGTTCAGGATCAGGACTTTATCTTTACTGTTGCTACGATATATAACACACACACACACACACACACACTAAGCACTTTCAGTGCAGAAATGTCACTCGATTCGTCTAATAATATACTATATTTATTTGTAGAAATATCACAGATCAAATTTTTTCAAAGTGAGAAAATAAAGTATTTCTTATAATATGTGTACACTTGGATGTGATACATTCTTACGTCATCAGTAACTTTACTGTCAGAAATAGTGTTTTGAAACAAACCAATCAAATGTTTATAGTTTGAAATTGCACAATGACAACCTTAAAACATTGTGACAGATCCTTCAACTTTTGATGATTCATTAATCGGTCTAGTTCTGAAAACAAATGTCAGCGGTGTAATATCTTTAAATGGAACCTCAGTTTTATGCTTTTTAGTCTCTGCATGACTCTGTAAGTTTGGTATTTTCGCTTTAATTTCACGCTTGTAGTACTTAAATGAACCTTCATCGTATCCCCAGGAACTGCCATCGCCCAGTCTTTAATTATGTCAACATATAGCCACTCTTTCCTAAATGTTTGCTCATACTGCTTTACTTTTGGCATGTTGCATTTTTTTTTTTCAAAGTGGAAGACATATATGAAGGTGGGAAAACAAGAATAGACCCACTGCCTCCCCAAAAGCATGTCGTAAGAGTCGACAAATTGGGGAGCTTCCTTTGAAGTCGGAGTGCATCGGCCGGAGAGGCAAGGAACCAACAGTCTGTATTCCAGAGAATGAGATCTGTAAAACTGATGCACACGCAACACTCAGGTTCTGGAGCAGGACTGCAGTTCAGTAGTGGACGAGCAACCAGAACTTTCCGCCAGAATGTACAGCTGGTGAACGCGAAGAAGAAGAAGAAGAAGATATATGAAGGTGAGCAATTATAAAAAAAAATGACATAATAAAGAACAAAAAAGTCAGAATCGCAACTATAATTTACAACACAGTGAGTATACTGTTCAAAGTTAGTATGATTTACGCGCGCTCCTAATCAGTACCGGGGCTACCACATTGTTGAGCGTTGACCCCAGTGAGTTCAAAGTTTAAGTAATTGCAGTTACCACAGTGTACGTGTCCAGACTAAAACAAAAATAATGTGCATTAAATATTTCAAACAGTAATTATTAAACTGACATTGAAAGAAAAAAAATCTCTAAATAGTCCAACTCCAAATGAAAAACATCTAGAATTACATCTACCATCTAGACGTCAAAAACAACACCTATAATAATCTAGATGCAAGGGAAAACATCTAGATCTGAATGTAAAACATCCAAAGTGGCAACACTGTTGACATGGGGGAGCCCTAAGTCAATTAAAAAATTTTCCGCTGTGGGTTTCGGGGCCCTGTTATAGGGAAAACAAGAATAGACCAACTGCCCACCCAGAAGCATGTCGTAAGAGTCGACTAATTGGGAGCTTCCTTCAAAGTCGGAGTGCATCTGCTTGAGAGGCAAGGAACCAGCAGTCTGCATACAGATGAGTTAAATCTGTAAAACGGATGCACACGCAACAATCAGGTTCTGGAACAGGGCTGCAGTCCAGAAGTGGATGAACAACCAGAACTTTGCGCCAGAGTTTACAGCTGGTGAACGCGAAAAAGAAAAAAAAGAATTATAAAATTCCCTCGTTATTTCATAAAAAATGCGAATCCGGAAATACTAACATCACTGTGGCGATACGAAAACACTTTCCTTCAAACAACAACCCAAATGCAAACTCGAAGTTTGAGGCTTTGAGACATACCGACAGTATGCTTCATGAATTACTTCTAGCACTGAAGGGTCATTATGGTGGTGTTTTTAATCATTCAAATGATGGAATCACGGTTGGTTTGATATATACTATACTGTGTACACTGTACTAGTACTAGCTGGTTGCGGCAGTGAAAGGGATAGCGAAAATAAAGCCATCCCATACATTCATACATCTCATCTGTTCTCTCCCCCCCCCCCCTTTTAAAATGTAACTGCTTTACTTTAGCCGCCTCGCCATCGCACTGAACTTTTCGAACAATGCACATACATAAAGTCGCCCCCTTGTAGGATGTTTTTTTTTTTTTTTGAAGCCCTATTCTGGCTTTTCCCGGGTTCGCTAAATATATATAGCTGGGCCACAAATGTGGCCATAACGGCTGAAAGGGGTTTCTATGACCTATCCACGGGTGATCCTCATCCGCTTGGAGGCACTTTGTGTCACCGGGTGTTTATCGTTTGTATGATGTCCTGGTGGGGTACAATAAGCAAGCAAGCACGGAACTTTTCCACCTTGAAACTTAATTAAATAAATAATCCACATATATGTGTGTGTATGTATATATATATATATATATATATATATATATATATGGGATGTCCTCCGAATAACGGCCAAAAACAGGGCCTCAGTCACATGTAAATTACGGACTTCCGGCGGCTTAAATTGCAAGCTTCCCGCGACTACCGCCACCGCCGAGAGTATCTCCCACGCCGCTACGTGCGGCGTGGAGCGGGGCTAAACTAGATGGCTGGGACTGAGTAGCAGCAGCTTCAGCATCTTCTGCAGCTTTGCTCACGAGTCCCAGCTATCTAGTTCAGCCCCGCTTCATGTCGCGCGTAGCCGGAAGTTCGCAATTTAAGTCGCAGGAAGTCCGTAATTTACATGTGACATGTAAGAAAATTAGGCTATCCTTCGAATAACAGCCACATATTATGGCGGCCAAAAACACACCCTGACAGGGCCTCATTAGGTCATGTGTTGTAAACATTAAAAAATAATGAGGAACGAAAAAAGGGAAAATGACGAAATCGACTACTTAGCGATAATTGAGGCCTTTATATCTTAAAATAGTGGCACAGAAGTTGCAAATAGTGCTCGGAAATCTGCTCTTTGTGGCGCCATTGAAACTCGGCTAAATATCTTCTTCTTCTTCGCGTTCACCAGCTGTAAACTCTGGCGGAAGGTTCTGGTTGCTCGTCTACTACTGAACTGCAGTCCTGCTCCAGAACCTGAGTGTTGCGTGTGCATCAGTTTTACAGATCTCATTCTCTTGAATACAGACTGTTGGTTCCTTGCCTCTCCGGCAGACGCACTCCGTCTTCAAAGGAAGCTCCCCAATTAGTTGACTCTTACAACATGCTTTTGGGGAGGCAGTGGGTCTATTCTTGTTTTCCCCACAATGGGGCCCCGAAACCCACACAGGGGTCGGCTAAATATGATCAGTGCCGCATTGGTAACGCAATTTTAACCGCCGAGAGTATCTCCCACGCCGCTACACGCGGCGAGGATAGGGGCTAAACTAGATGGCTGGGACTCACAAGCAAATACATTTTTAAAGTTGCAAACTGCAGGAGATGCGGTAGCTGCTGCTCATGAGTCCCAGCCGCCTAGTTTAGCCTCCCATCCGCATATAGCGATGCGGGGGATACGCTCAACAGTGAGTTTAATCGGAAGAACACTATCGCTAACCTGTGTTGGAGTTTGTGGTCTCCCCGCCATGTCGCTATTATCATGTGTATTGTTGCGTTTCTCAAAATTGTCAATGGACAGTAATCCTAGTTTTGTCGCGATGTGTTCGTCGGAGGAAGTCCGCAGTTTACATGTGATTGAATTATATTCTCTGCTAAGCATTAGCAACTTGTTAATGTAAGCCAGGGCTTTTCAGCTGGTGGCCTACCGACCTAAATATGGCTCGCGGAGGCCTAGCAACTGGCTCGCGAATCATTGTCAGTTGCATTAATGATTTTTTTCTATGCTGTGGCTCTGTTCACTGGTCCATGATGATCTCCATTATTAGAATATTGGACCCTGAGTAAAGTTAGTTGAATAGCCCTGATGTAAACAGTCCATATCCTTACTTTTATGTATGTGAAATCCTTTATATAGAAAGTAAGATTGACCTAGTGATAAATGGACACTAAGAAATGTTTTACAAAGATAAGGTGGCTTGTTTAAGATTAACTTAGTCTTAAATAGGTGTCTAGTAGATAGAGACGGCTGGCTTGATACAGACCACATTACCATTTAAGTTTTTTTTTTTAAATTTACACAAGCCTTCATTAAAGTCTGTGTATTCATTTTTGGTTGTTATAATGGTTCTTTCATAAATATTTTTGGAAAGCCAACTGATTTGTAAAAGACACTGACGTAAAAACAAAAGTCCAGTTTCAAATAGTTAAGATTAAATATGCAGATTTTGTTTTTTTGAATTTCTATTCTTTGGCAGGTTGTTCCAGGTCTGCCCTTTATCCATGCCTCAGAAGAAGTAGTGTTGAACCAGCTGTGTAAATTGGGCACTTACTACAAGGACTTCCGTGACTTCATTCAGCACTATGGTTCTGGACTTCTTGCTGTCCACCAGCCAGGTCACATTACGTGTTTTGTTTCCCTGTGTGGGTTCCGGGCCTATTATGAGGAGAAAAAGTATACATCCTCTGCTTCTCTAGCAAGCATGTTGTAAAAGTATCTTATTAGGGGTGTTTTCTTTGGAGTTGGAGTGCTTCTGCCTGAGAGGCGAGGAACCTGCTTACAAATAAGCCAGATCTGTTTAACGGATGTGTACACAAAATCATGTTCTGGAAGAAGACTGAAGTCCAGAAGTGGATGAACAACCAGTACTTTCCACCCACAGCAGTTTGCAGGTGGTGAACTCAAAGAAGACAAAGAAATGTTTTGTTTAGAAATGTTTATCCATGTTTAATATGTCTTTAGTAGCATTTATTCTGTTGTTTGAGTTTCAGTTTACTGGATTTCTGATTTAATTGTTTGTATATTAATGGCCCAGCAAACAAAAGATGTTTATAATGTTTAATAAGTGGCAGAATAATGGTTGTTTTTGTGATAGCCAGACGGCATCAGTTTTATTAGAAAGAAAATGTTTTTTTTCTCGCATACACATGCATGCGTGCACTAATATGCACATAAACACAATCTATTCCTCCATTCCACTTTGTCCTGTGCTGTCCCTCCAATATCCTGGATGGAATCGAGCACCTTTGACTTCTGTCATTACAGTTCACCTTCTTGGACATCCTTGTTTCCTCAATTCCTTTATTTCCCATTTAAGTGCCTGTTTGGTGATTCTCTGCTCGTTTCCTATCAGGATGTGTTCAGTATAGCACCATCTTCTTTGTCTTCTAACTATTGATACCAGTAGTTGTCCCGGAATTTTTCTTATTTCTTCATCCCTCTTGAATTCTTACCATATTAAATTCATTATTTCCTCCAGCATTTGTTTTGATGTATTTAACTTTCACACCATGTCATAAGTGGAAAAGTTTCAGTACCAATGATGCACAGCCTGTTGGTTTCTGAGCTTGGAGAGGGGAAGGTGAGCTCTGAAACACAATGCCTGTTGAAATGGTGCTTTGGTACAAGGTGTGGAGATAAGTTACTACATCGGCCTGCACATCATTTTCAAAGCCTAGATTACATGTACACCAATACATTAAAATAAAAAAGTTACAATGCACGGTCTTATAAAAGATTCACTCCCATCGAGTCTCTTGTGTCAGATATGTTACTGTGACCTTCAGAAATCCCTTGCCAATGTGAAATGAAAATTGTATTATAAATATTGAAAATTATGCCCCATTCAATAAACAGTTTTGTTGTCTTGCAGACACTGATGACTTGCATGGCTTGTACATGAAGTGCCTATGCCAAGGTTTGAACAATGTTCTAGAAGATTATAGGCAAGTCTTGTTGGAGATTGAGCAGGACATCCTACATGATGCTCACCTTCCGGTCTCTCACATAGCTTGCAGATTGCAAGAGGTAGTGTATAATAGTGACATTAGGATCTATTTTTGAAAAATTGTTGTTAGGAATTGGTTAATTTACTCGTTGCTACATTAACTCTAGAGTACATATTTTACTCCTTTTAGAGGATAATTAAACACATGATTTATTAACAAGTTATAGTGATTTTTAAGTTACATTATGCTAAGATTACAAGCAGTATGTCATGTGTTTCTGAGCAAAAGTTTAAGACTGAGGATACTGATATATACTATTCCAGAACAAACTCCATGGAGAGAAAAGTGCAAACTAACAGTACAAATGCAGACAAATGTGAAAAGAATATTTGACTAGAAAGAGCAAGATAGCGTACAATGCAGAATGGTCACCCTCAGTTATATTGATAAAGAATACCAACAAGAACAGTGGGTCAAAGTCTATACAGATGGGTCTACACAAAGTGCAGTTAGAAATGGTGGTGCTGGAGTGTACATAGAATTCACAGATGGTACTAGGGATAAGTCCAGCACACCAACCGGGAAGTACTGCCATAACTATGATGCAAAAACTCAGGCCATTAAGATAGCAACAGAAAAACTGCTAAATACCAATCTTGGCTCACAGTATGTGGTAATGCTGACAGATGCAAAATCCGTACTTGAAGCACTCCAGTCTAGGAAACTACCAGAATTGCAAACACTGCTGACACAACTCAGCCTTCAGCGTAGAGTCGTAATGCAGTGGATACCGTCTCATTGTAGAGTGCCTGGAAATGAGAAAACTGATCAACTGGCAGGGGAAGGTGTGACAAAAGTGCAGCCCGATGTACCAGTCACATACCACCAAAAGAAAAGAATCATTAAATTGATCAGGAAACAAGACGACTATTTTATTATGGACAGATCAGAACAAGTCAATATCTTCCGCCTCAGAACAGGGCACATCCGATTAGGTAACCACATGTACACAAAATTCAAGATAGGCGTATCAGCCATGTGCACCTGTGGAAAGGTGCCCCAGACAACAGAACATGTACTCCAGGACTGCACCAAATTTGACACATTAAGGCAAACTTTTTGGCCAGAAAGAACAACAGTGGAACGTAAACTCTAGGAACCACTGAATGAACTAACAACGACAGTAAAATTTACACAAGAGACAAAATTGCTGATATAGACAACTTATTTCAGGCGAACGACAGAAGAAGAAGAAGAAGAACTGATATATATACATTCTCAGCATTTTTGTGATGTAATTATTGTGTCGTCCCATTAGTAAAAGTACAGTGATCATTCATTTGGTGATGTGGGCAGTACAAGACCGGCTCCAGCTGACGTCACCAAACCAGGCTAACGATACGTTAACGCAGCGATTCTCAGACTGAGTGCTGCAACACCCAGGGGTGCTGCGAGCATATGTCAGGGCTGCCACGGCAGTAATCAAGAATTTTTCCAAATCTGCTTGACATTAAATTTGCACTGTTTTTTCCCCTTCTTTTCTTAAGTATTCAAACAGCTTTAAGGGTAGGTGTGCCGCAACAATTGTTTTTCCCTAACGATAAAAGATTAAGAAACATTGCATTAACTTATAGTTAGGCCGGTTTGGTGACATCAGCTGGAGCCGGTCTTGGGCAGTATCACACTAGTCACTTTACTTTCCAGAATATTTCTGGTGCCAATTTGTAAACTGGATTGACATGGGTGCCCAGGTCAATTTAGAAGGGGAAAAATGCTTCAGTAGGGATTTAGAATCATTGGGCCAGCAGACAGATATGCCAACAACTACTATGATGGTTTTCCTATTATCAGATACTAAATTATTTTTTTAAAAATAATATATGTTTACTTTTTTTTCCCTTCAGTTTCACTTGTTGTTTCCTGTCTTGGCAACAACAATTGATCAAGTTGTCTCTCATAAGGTAATTTATGGCTTTCATGATTTTGTCAATTATTAATTAACTGGGTCATCATTAAGAACACATTACTTGAAAACTAGTGAGTTAAGGATATTTTTTTGATATGTCGTGAAGCAAGTTGGCTGTAAGATCCCTATGTGGGTATCTGGGAACTCATAGGAAAATGGGGGGGGGGGGGGTGTATAGATCCCCAGCTTCCCTGACAAGCATATCTTAAAAGCTGAATGATTAGGGGCATTTACTTTGAAGTCAGAGTGCATCTGTCTGAGAGGGAGGAACCAGTAGTATGCATACTAATAAGCCATATCTGTAAAACTGATGTGTACACAAAACCCATGTTCTGGAAAAAGACCATATTCCAGAAATGGATGAACAACCAGAACTTTCTGTTGGAGTTTACAGCCACTTAATGCAAAAAAAGAAGAAGAATGTTAGAAGCTAATGTCTTGTTTTTCTATACCAATCAGTATTCAGTGGTTATGTGGCCATTATTAGATCAGTCATCTTTACTTCCCATGACATTTTCTGGTACCACTTTTAGGCTGGGCACATCATGCTAGCCACTACAATGCTACAACACCCCACCATAAAATTGTGTCAAATAGCATTACCTTGCAGAACGTTTCTGTCATTACTACCCACCAGAAAGGTTCCCAAACTTTGGCAAGCCTCCTGCCTTGTGCATTTCAATGCCCATGGTGTATGTTAATCAACTCATGCCTCTGTGTTTGTTTATTTCTGTCCTTTATAAACCACAGATATTTAATCAGGCCAAATTATTAGTCTCTGAGTCATGATACTGTTTATGAGCTAGTTCTCTTTAGTACTCAGATCATGTAAACTCATATTTTGGGACTGACTTTGTCTTGAGATATCATTTGTCTCTGACCTTCCATATCCTAAGTGATTGCATTACCGTCATCATCATCATTTGCCTTACCAAATGTCATGGGCATTCATGTGCCTCCATAGATCTCTGGTGTTTTTGATAAATTCTATTGAAGATATGACTTTTTGACACAGTCTAACACCACTCCTTGACACTGACTAACACCACTCCTTGACACTGACTAACACCACTCCTTGACACTGACTAACACCACTCCTTGACACTGACTAACACCACTCCTTGACACTGACTAACACCACTCCTTGACACTGACTAACACCATCCAACATAATTTCTTTCAGTCTGCCTCTTGTCTTCTGCTGCTGCTATTGCCAGTTATGTTATCACAGTGTTCTCTAATACCCTCTTCTCATCACATGACCAAAAAAAAGTGTCTCTTTCTTAGTATTGCGTAAAATAGTCAACTTTTGTTAGCTGTGTCCAGGTGAGTTAATCTTGTTGTTCAAGGTATTAACAACATTGGTCGCAGCAACCACATTTGTGCTGCCTCTAAGCTATTCCTACTTTTCCTTTATAAGACCAAGATTCACCCAGCAACACAGGCTTTTTGAAGTCGGAGTGCGTCTGCCTGAGAGGCAAGGAGCCAGCAGTCTGCATACAAATGAGTCAGATCTGTAAAATAGATGCACACGCAGCTCTTAGGTTCTGGAACAGGACTGCAGACCAGAAGTGGATGAACAACCAGAACTTTCCACCAGAGTTTACAGCTGGTGAACACAAAGAAGAAGAAGAAGAAATGAAATTACTTTCTTTCTGACATTCAGTGAAAGTGACTTATTTCCTAATGTGCATTTCATCTTGTGAATGCAACAAACATATAGTTTTGTTAATGTTTCTGATTATCTTTGAAATATGAGAGATTACATTGTAATGTTATCTCTTCTTGTCACTTCAGGCACATGGATGCTACATTCTTGATATCCTTTACAAAAATGCCACTTTTGGAATGCCTGGTGTAAAGAATGCATTAAACAGGTAATGGTATTAATTCTGTCCTCTATTTTTAAAATTTTACTTTATTGCAGTTTTTGAGTTTAATTGATACAGAAATAGAGTTTCTAATCTCATGGGGTCACATATTTTCAGCATGACTGACCATGCATCAAATTTTGAATAGCTCAGTTCCCCGTGTGGGTTCCGGCCCTGTTATAGGAAAAACAAGAATAGACCTACTGCCTACCTAAAAGCATGACGTAAGAGCCGACTAATTGGGAGCTTCCTTCAAAGTCTGAGTGCATCTGCCTGAGAGGCAAGGAACCAGCAGTCAGCATATAGATGAGTCAGATGCTTAAGACGGATGCTCATGCAACACTCAGGTTCTGGAACAGGACTGCAGTCCAGAAGTGGATGAACAACCAGAACTTTCCGCTAGAGTTTATAGCTGGTGAACGTGAAGAAGAAGAAGAATAACTCAGTGTGAGGTAAAAGGTAAAAAGAAATAAGGCCCCCAAATTCTAAATAATAATGTATTAGCCATGGTTAGTTTGCCTGTCTGAATAACTTGTAGTTTTGTGTTAAAATCCACCTCAGTGTACAATTGTACAGGGTCATGCAGCTGATGGTTGACCTCTCTTTATATATAAAATGAATCCCACCCAGTCTATGAACAGGACACTGCAGGCTCAACTACCACATGCATAAAATAAAGATTGTACAGTCCCCATAGTGTGCCTGTCAAACAAGACCCCAAACACCTAAGCACATTCTGCAGACCTGCCCACTCTACCTGCAACTTCGAAAAGACACCTGGCCTCAAGACCTGATGGTCTGATCTGAGCATATGAAACCGAACGCAAAGAAGAAGAGGAAGAATCCCACCCAGTTGACTGGGATGAAAAATGGCTAGCTTGATTCTGTCTACTACACCCAATGAATACTATTTGTTCAAGTAACTAAAGGCTTTTTCTATGTCAACAATACTTAAAAAAAATTGATTTTAAAATAATTCTTTCTAGGCAGTTACTAGCCCTCTGCAGAGCCTTCTCACAGCTAATTAGATAGCCTCTCATTCCTTTGCATCAATATTTCCATGCTCAAGTTAAATCCAGTATTGTCTTCACACCCTCATCTCCTTGCTGGTTGCCTCTTCTTTCAGGAATTTAAGCCTTCCATTGTTTTTTTTTTCTCAAGCCATTCTTTTTCTTTTTCTCTACTCTGGAATGCCCCACAGTGTCAGAGCAGGAAGAGATCTCTGGAACTGGTCCTTCTGTTGGCTTCGTATATTGTACTTTTCATCGTTTCTCATATTTCATGGTCCACATTCTGGATGGTTGACCTCTGGTTCTCCTGCTGCTGTAAGCTATTATACTGCTTAATATAGCTTAAGTATTTAAGTTTCTAATGTATATTGTCAGTTGTGTTTTTGTTTTGTTTTCACACACATTATTTATTGAACTTCTTTAAAAGCCAATGTTCTTATTTCAACAGGATCCTGTTTGTATGTCATGGACTGTTGTTCAAACAGCTGTCTGCTTGGATGCTGCATGGTATCATATCAGATCCTTATAATGAGTTTTTTATTCAGAGAGCACAGCATGGCTTGGATGTGACTGACAGACAAGCCGAAAGTGATGACGATGATTTGGGTATTATGGGATTGACAGGTCGACAGTTGCAGGTAATCTGTGGCGACAGGTTTTCATGTCTGTCTATACTTTACATGTGAGGAAAATACAAGTTGAAAGGGTGGAGGGGGGGGGGGGGGCGGTTATGTGTGATTGAAACATCATTGCCTTATAGTTTAAAAACATGGCTTGTTGGTGGCATGACACCAGAATGTCGTGGGATGATACAAGAGTGTGGGGAGAATGATACGAGAGTGTGGTTGGATGATACAGGAGTGTCGGGAGGATGACACCAGAGTGTGGTGGAATGATACCATCCAGTAAATTGTGTATCTCCTCTTTATTCAAAGTGTTTTCTAGTTCTAATTTTTTTCACTTATTACTCCCTCCGTGTTCCAGTGCATTATTTTGAGATTAGATCTATTCGCAGATATAGATAAATTTCCTATAGCGTTTGTATGTCACATCCTGATTTTTATAGTATGCCTCCTGGCTGGTTGACTCCGACATCAGCACCTAATTTTAATTTGTCTGGTAAGCTAGATGGACATACTGGCTTAGTGGATCGAACTGTCCACCCTGACATGGGTGTATGCCTGTAGACAGGACTTCGGCATCATTGGCACATCAACATTTGTACTTAATGCCGACATTGCCTTGTTGTTTTGTTGACCATTGCAGTATACATCTGGTGCGATCTGACGACCTTGACTATGAACTTTATCAAAATGAAGGCAGTTAGAAACACACAGTCCAGATGCAACTTAGAAATACTTCTGAAGTCTTCTTGTAGTCATTGTCTCATCAAAAATACAGGTTACATTAATTTCAAGCGAACGAAAGAAGAAGGGGAATTAATTCATGTTTTTCTTCTTCTTCTTTTCCGTCTCCTTTTACCTCAGAAGGGGTTGGGGGAAGGGGTGCTGGGAGTGGCAAAGATCTGCTTCATGCTGTTCTGGCCGCCTCTACCACAGACACATCATGGTGTTGCCACAGACACATCGTGGTGTTGCCACAGACACATCATGGTGTTGCCATAGACACATCACGGTATTGCAGAGTTTCTCTATTTGTCTTTCCATCTTGTCCTTTATTCGTATTAAAACAAGTGTATTGTTTACTCCGGCTAGAAAGTTCACCTGGGCTCAGAGATGGAGGTTACACCACATGACACAGGACAGTTTTGTATAGCAGCAGGTTTACTGCCGTCCTACATCCCTGTCAGGGTGGCCAGGAAGATTCTCTTTGTTGGTGAAAGTGTTCAGATGTTTGAGAGAGACAAACACAAAATAAAATCTACACACAAAGGTAAAACAGACTGTAAACATAATGAGTTTCTGCACTTATGTTGATAAATTTGTCTGGCATAACATTTTTAAAAAAATAGGCTTTAAAAAAGATTATAGTTAATATTTAAAAATGTGTTATTTAGTTTCAAAACAAAAAAAAATTGCTTGTATTCTGTGTATTTAGTTAAACTTCTTTTTTCTTAGTGCCAGCTGTAAACTCCGGTGGAATATTCTAGTTGTTTGTCCAACCTAGTTTTGCATGTACTTCTGCTCTATAGATATGGCTTATTTGTATGCAGACGACTTGTCTTTGCCCCCCATGCAGATGTACTCTGACTTAAAAGGAAACACCCCTAAGTCATCTCCTATGACATGCTGTGGGGGGGGGGGGGGGGGGGGGGGGGGGGGTTTATCGGATCTGTTTTTTGTTAACCAAAATGAAGTCCCAGAAACCACACAGGCATGTTTATTAGTTTTAGTTTATGTTAGTTTCAGCTTCATTGCAAACCGGTCACCCCATAGTTGCTCTGCTTCTGTGCCAATGAAAAATACACAGAATGTTTATCAGTCCCTTGTGGAGAGATTGACAGAGTGCTGTATTCAGCATATGCATACCCACTCATCAAAAGCATACGGTAGCCACACTGGGACGTGTTCATCATGTGCCTCAGTGATCAGTATAAGCAGTCCTTAATGCCATCACGGGAATTACAGATTGGTTCTTTATTCTCATTCCACCCGTGTCATTTGGCCAAGCTAATTGACCACGCCATTCACATAATTATATCTTTGTCTACCCTTGCTCTTTTTCATCAAGTTATCCAATTATCAGTAAGTTTTGAAGTTTATTTTTCCTTATGTCTCAAAATTGTCTTGACTGTCTACGTCTGATTTCTCATATGTTTTATGCTGAATCATGACATGGCTGCTCCTAATATGGCCCTTGCAAGGTGTGAAGTTTCATTAGTTATCTTGCACACCTGGGTTGTTTTTTAACACGGAAAGAGGCAGATGATCTCTGTATCACAGTTCCCAAGTAGATGGTAATTAGACACTGGGTTGTGAGAGAAAATAAGTAACCTCATAAACACACCATATATAGCAGTCTTATACACCAGCCTTATATATCTCTCTCCATATTCTCTTCTTGCTGTTGTTGACAGATAAGGCATTCACAAGTGATCACTACTATTTTCTGCCTATGGTATCCCAAAGCATGTAAAAAAAGTAGTAAAGGACCATTTTCCATGCCTTTAGGTGTATAAGGCATATAGGGCTAGATCTATATTTTTATAGACCAATCAGCACAAGATAGGTGATGTGGTCAGCATCACACTGGCCGCCTTTAATTCCTGGGGCTGCACCCGGTACCCACTCAAGGCTGGGTCGACCTGGGAGTCAAGGTCATTTTTTTAAAAAGTCCACCACGGTGACTCCCTAAAGCATGTTGCATTTTTTTATTTCCCTTTTCCCTCTTGTTTACAGCTGGGACTATCATGAGTAGCAGAGAGGATGAATTTGCAGCAGACTTGCAAGAATTGTCTAAACAGCCAGAATTCAACAGCATTGGGTTTGAAACTATCATTGACAGAATCAGAGCCCATGCAGCTGAAGTAGGTAACTTTATAGCAATGCAAAGGAATGTTTGTTTTGTATAAGTAAAGTAAGTGTCACATACTGCTAGTGTCACGTGCCTTTATGAATGTTTCTCCTACTGAACCAAATGGCACTCTGAAGTAGTTTTAAAATGTTGAGATGTTGGGTCGCTTTGGTCTAGGCCGAATCCCGCAGCTCCAATGAACATCCAACCTACTACAGGGGTGAGGCAACTCAAATTATGGCACTACAGAACATAAAATATTCCTAGGCACAACTTGGCCTGACTTCCTCACTACAATTAAGCCCCCAGACTAGATAATACTCCTATGCTAGTCAAAATAACAGTTAAACATGCTATGACATTACTACAAACACTCCAGACAACTAGGAACAGTGAAGGATGGACACTAAACCAAGAATGTAAAAATCACAAAACATGTAATCAGTACAACAATTGTAGGAATAAAGAAAAAAAAAAAGGAATTCAATAAAGTCAGTACCACTGATGAAACGAAGACAAGTTATGACTGATTAGCACATATTGCTCCTAGTAGCAGCCATCATCATCACTGCTAAGATGTGGACTAATGAACTCAAGGAACTGGCACTTAGGTATTGGATTAACCGCAGGTGCTGGTACTCCACTTATCTGGCACCAGGTCCGATCCACTGGAACGAATGTCTTCTCACACATCTAGGAAAGCTGGTGTATTGACTCACGAACTCCGCCTCTCTTCGGCATACAGCATATAGGGAATGACTGGAATCACTGCCTAACATTCAGAATTTGATACCCTGTCACAGTCCTGGGTATATCACGGGTCCAGAGTCTTTTGCCTCAGGTGTAGGCAGAAAAGATGCCAGACAACGCTCTGGACATCCATGAAAACACTTTGGGGATGAATCTCTGTCCAGGTATTAATTTACTTGAACAGTACCGTCACCAACAGGATGCAGGAACAGGAGTGACCCGAGGAATTATGTTGGTATCTTCTGGCTGCTTTGTGTAGGGTAGGCTGGATCAGGTGTAGATGATTGTCAACATGGCCTCCAATGAAGTTAAACTCCTGTGACAAAAGTGAAAACCAGAATTAGCAATCATCCTACGCCCTGCATACCTAGTTCCTAATTTTTCCATCTATCCACATACATATAGCTCAGAGGACTGTGCTAGAATCGTAAGACTGCAGGAGTCTGTACATCACCATTGTATTATCGTCAGCTGAGACGGGAGTAAAGAAACAAAGTTCCGACAATGATAATAGGCGCAGGACAACCTTTATAGGTATAGCACCTCTCCCCCTTCATACTGGCATATCTATACTCCCACAAGTATATCACAAATACAAGAATATAGATATATATAACCATGAAAAGGCGCGCACACACACATATACCCTCCTTACTCTCCCCCAGTGTGTACAGATTTTTTCCAACATGACACGGCCATGCCGTGACGTCACACCTGTACTTGACCAATAGGCGCGCTCTGACCTAGATATCTTCTAGCCCAAAAAATTGGCAAAAACATTTCACAAATGCGACAAGCAACTTGTAACTGGTCAAACTGTCTGGACCCTATGGACGGAGTCCCAGGTGATAATAACCTCGGCCTTTAAAGGGGATGTATAGTTTGGGCGCCACTCTGCAATTATAATGGATGGAAGCCCTAGTTCTATAACTTCACATAGCCACCTCTGTCCTACTCAGCAGTGGGGTTACATATATGGTACTCATAAACTATAATGTACTTACCCATGCTCAAAGGATCTTCTAGTATGAATAGGTGATTTCACTAGAAATAAACAGGTATACAGCAATAAAGGCAGTAAGCATGTGTCTTCTATGGAAGCTCAGTCAGGAATAAGTTCGACCCGATGGAGGCGGGAGGAGATTCATTCGTGTCCAAGCGGTAGTTCGGCCATTGAAATTTTGGCTTCACTAATAATGAATCTCTCACCTAAAGTCTTCAGTTCAAAAGTTCTATCTCTCCTAAGATAATTAGGACAGAACTGAGTACTTAACCCACATATAAACACATAATTACAAAAGAAGGACTATTTACCTACAGAGGCAAGTCCACTTTTCGAATCAGCCTCATTACCATAGAGGTAACAAGATCCAGACCAGTCTAAGACGAAAGGGGTGAGGGCTGTTTCATGACAGTAAGGGATTGTTTTCTTCACCTTCAGGCGTATTGGGCATATAGGACTAGACCTATATTTGATAGACCAATCGGCACATGGGTGATATGGTCAACCCACACCTTTATTTCCCAGAAGTGTACCTGATACCTATGTAAGGCTGGGTCAACCTGAAAGCCAAGATATTTGAAAAAAAAAAAAAAGTCAAGCTTCGCCAGGACCCATCCCACAACCTCCTGATCTGCAGGAGAGCATCTGTGTCATATTTACCTTGCAGATAATGGTTTTCTTTGTCAGAAATGAATATTATGTTGATGAAGCCTGACCTTCTCACTTCTGTTCTGTAAAGTACCTCTGGATGTTGGTGTGTGAGGAAGCAGATCTGAGAAGTGAGTTGAGAATCCTCAAGGATTATTTTCTTCTCGGCCGAGGTGAACTTTACCTTGCCTTCATTGATCAAGCACAGCACCTGCTGAGAGCACCACCTGTGTCAACAACAGAACATGGTAAGTCGGGTTGGTTTATTTGATGGGTGAATCCTTGGGAAAATTTAGTTTTAACTT